ATATTATAATTTATTTGTTAAAGAGGAGAATATCAATTATTTATTGTTAACAAGAGAAAGCAAGGGAAAACAGATGAAATAAGTGAAAGATATCGTATAAATCGCTCATATGTATAAATATTTTTTTTTTTTTAATTTTTAATTTCAGTTAAGAGGATCCTATATTTCTTTCTTATTAATTAATTATTTTAATAAAAAAATAATATTTCTTGTTAATTTAGGAATTAATATTCCTCTAAAAGATTAAAATGGATTATACTCCTATATTGTAATATACTTATTATTAGTGCCGGATGTGAACGGTACCCTCGTATAAATAAAAATGAAGTAGTTTTAGAAATGTGTGAAGAAGATACATCTACTAATATATGTACATAAAATAAATTAAAAATTAAATATGTCTAAGAACTCAGTACAACTCATTTTAAAATAAAACAGAATGTATACATATTTATCACTTCATCAAAGTTCTAAATTTATTACAGTAAGATTATGCACACAGAATTAATTTTTACACATGGTTATTGGCACAAGTACCGGGTTTCATTAAAACAATTTTATTTACAAACGAATTTTGCTATACGCAGGAAGGTTATTTTAATACACACAGTTCTCACACTTATAGAAATGAAAATCCACACGAATATCGTATCCAAAATTATCAACGCCATTTTAATTTCAATTTGGGACGGTAAACAGAATAATTTAACAGTAAGTTTTCTGTTTATTGCTTGTATTATAGCTTATGTAAAAAAAAATGATATAATATCTTTAACATATTAAATTACAGATTAGAATGTTTAAAATGCCTATAAGACTTGATGATACTATTTATAAAAATTTTGTAGATAATAATTTATCAGAATTGTTAAAGAATATTTCATTAAATATTCGACGACGTCGCGTTTTCTAATAAAATTCTACTACATAATGCGGAATGTGTGCTACACTTTGAATAAAAAATTTTCGAGAAGTTGGTCCTATAAATTGATCAGTCACTCGATATGACACCTTTGAATTACTATTTATGCGATCATACTAAAAAACATGTATACATAAATAGCCAGTTAATAATCACGAGGAATTGTAAGGTAAAATTGTTAAAATAACACCAAACATAATTATAAACGCAACAAGCAGTCTATTGCGACCCGCACAATTATGTATTGAATGCGATGGTGGACACTTTTATTATTTTAACATTTATTGTAAAAAAATATTTTAGTTTGTTATTTAATCTGTTGAACTGTTTTGTTGTTATTAAAATTCGTTAAATATGTTAACAGTGTTAATTTTTTAAAGTGTGTTAAATTAAGGTTTATTAAATACGTTTGAATCATAATTATTGTTTAAATTAATTTTTACTAAAACCATAGCAATTTGTATTTCGTTACGAACATTCCAAAATGTTCTAAAATACAAAATAAACAGCTATTAATTCTATTACAAAATATTTGTCTCGCACAGCGTAGCATAGACACCTTCATGGTAATGTTAATCGATGACTTTGACAGCTCAAGTTGAAATATGCAAATTTTAACTTGAATTATTTTTGATATGCCTTTAGTTTTTACATCTTTTATTTGTGAAAAAATGTATTAATATGCAATACATAGAGAAGCGAAAACATTGTAAATTAATATGACAATAATATCATAAAAAGAGCGTCCCATTAATAGGAGCACTTTTGCATTTGTTATTTTTGCGTACCTGAGCGCGCGAAATATCAGCCCTGCCATTAGTAAATGTAATCGCTTCCCGTTTAAAAGCTATTATAGCCTCGACATTTTTGTATTAGAATTTTCTTCTTAAAATATTGTGAGGAATCTACCATTAAGAGCAATTCCGGTGGTTTTAGGACACCCTGTATATATTTTTCTCTCTTTAAATATAAATGTTAATGTAATTTTGTGTGTGTGTGTGTGTGTGTGTGTGTGTGTGTGCGTGTGCGTGTGTGCGTGTGTGCGTGTGTGCGTGTGTGCGTG